ATGCTCTTTCGAGTTCCACTTCTGATGAGCGATGAGACATTGGTGGAGCGAAGCTTCTTCGTTTCTGGCGTAGTTACGATCAGATTTCTGAAGTGTCCAACAAACTGAGTCCAGACGCTGTCAGGTGAGCCACCTTTCAAGAATTCCCAATCGGTCATCACAACTAGGTCGTTCAGGACATTGTAGTGTGTGATAGTACGTATTAGTGCTGTGTTTACCACAGGATATTCAGCGTAACACACATAGTTATAATGTATGGTGACAGGATCGCTTACACATAGTGGGGTGTCTACAAATGGCCTGTCAATCAAGAGTTTCTCATTTGTACACACGAGGTCTAGTGCCAATGGTTTGTTGTCAGCTCTGTAGCCGGTAGGTGTGCCGATGTGACTGCAGAGTGGCATACTTCTCATGAGGCGGAGACTTCAAATTAGACCGTGCTCTACATTTCTTCATTTTAGGAATTGTTGGCACACTTTCGTCATTACTTCTTATAAAAACCCACTGTTTTAGTTGTTCACCGTCTTTTCTATAAGCAATAGCATGATAACCTATACCTGCGATGTTCTGAGGTCGTTATTTGTTTCTGGGTAACTCAACGATAATCAAGCTATCAGGAATAAATTAAGAAGAATCTTCAAAAGACAGAATAAAGCTATACAAAAGCATCATGCGGGGTGGATAGTTGCTTTGAGGAAGGAAAACTTGGTAAGTATGGGCATACCCACTCCTCTAATCGCCAATATCTGTTCGATCCTGAAAAAACTGGGGATCTCGTGAATACGCACACCCTGGAACCATGTTGCAAGAAACATAGCTCCATAAAGATGTTGAAGACACCGTTGTTGCAATTGACCGTTTTATTTGTTCTCGTGTTGCTCGCCTATGCACATAACGGAGTCTTGGCGGCTGTGCCATAACTTTTATTAAAGCTTCTTGGTGCCTATCATCAAAAAGCCTTTACTGCTACTCGTCACAAGTTATCGACTGCTTGCTCTTAAAGTGTAGGCCAAAATATCCGAGTTAATACCATACAATTTTACTGGCCAATACCTAAATATCCCCTAGTTGTCCTAAATCAGATGCCGACGAATTTTACGATGATTTTATGGCTACTGTTATTAGGAACACTGATCTGTCCCTGTGCATGTCTGCAGGTGATCTCAATAAGTTTGACGCCCCATTCCTCACAACTCTCGGGCAAAATAATAATCGAAAATATCTCATTAGGTTGGAGGCAACTCTAGATTTAGTATTTGTCAACAATTTAACGATATTCTCGGTCCGCAATCGGACACAACTTAGCAACTGAGATCATTCTGTGCTCAAGCGTTCCACGGTTGTCTACAGTAACACAATCCACAAGGTTGCCACTCGCTGCGATGATCGTAAATAGAAATGGAAACAATCCGACTTTTCAAACATAGCGCGGCTCAGAGAAATGGTTGCTTCCACAGACCTCAGTATGTTTCGACGTAGACGTATCAACATACTGTGGCCAAGTGACAAGTTATCTGAACTACTGTCATGATTTGTGCTCACCGATAAAAACAATCTTCATCTGCACTGATCGCTTTCCTTCATCTCATCTCAAGCAGCTTCGTAGGCTCAAGCAAAGAGCTTTCAAGCGCAAAGATCGCGCTTTAGTGAAGTACATTTCTGCTTGTGCAAGGGAAGAAGTGCACCACCTCGATCATGTCTATGTTCAAACAATTCTGGGAAACAAGAGATGTCGTGAGGTTTGGCGATTGATGAAACAGCTCAGCGGAGTCACGCGTCAGAATAGAAATTCTGATGGGGGAGTTGAATTGAATCGTAATTTCCGCTACACTAGTGGTGCCTTATTCTCTGATTTATTATAGCTGCACCATTTCAGAGGTCTACGGACTCACTGCCTCCTGTCGAGGTCGCATCACTGTACAAGAAGCCAGCCCAGCTACATTCAGGTAAGGGATGCGGAACTGACAGGCTGTCACCTGTCGTCCTGAAGCAGTGTGCTGATTCCGTAACCCGACATATGGTATAGCCATAATAATGTGTGTAGAGCAAGGAGAAATCGCGGATAGTTGAAGGATTTTCAGCATAACGCCAGTATCGAAAAAGGGACAAGTAAATATCGGCATACTGCATCTACCTCGGTGGCTTTGAAGGTTTTCGGGAAAATGATTCTTGAAAGAAATGCTTGCCTAGCTCTGCTTGGATGACTGTGGTGTTGCCACATTACTCTTTACTCTCCCTCTCTTATCGCTAAGGCTTGGTCGTGAATCATATACCTACTTAACGGCCATTGGACGAATACGTGCTTGGTTCTGATTGGTTTGTGTGAACGGTTGAATTGCCAACCGCTGCTATGTGTTCATAGTGTCCATAAATCCGTTTATTCTACTGGGTTATTGTTCTGCTCTCAAGGGCAAAACAAATTGGCGTCGTGCGCTACCAGTGTCTCTACATAACACGGCCCGTACTTAATTCTGGACGGATCCTGCAATCACGCCAACGACAGAATTTGGGAGGATTGGACAATTACTTTTTCGGATTACATTTCGGTTCTACCGATCCTAAACACATCAGTGAATTTAAAGCCAGAGGATACCTTGAATCTCCTGAAGCTACATCTCGGTTCTGAAAACCGGCGTACATTTGACGCCCTGAATCTTCGCGAGAAGCCCACCCTGAAGGATGCACTCCTGGCTCTCGATACGCATTGGGAAGTGCGTATGAACACACAGACTTCCCACTACAAATTCACCCAGACGAAGTAAACACGCCGCGAGCACTTGGACAACTTCATAACCCGACTTGTAAGTTCTGTGTGAAAGTGTGACAATGACAGTTTTCCCAAGAAGAAACCGGGAGAAACGATGTCTATACAGCAACTGATCTCCGGCCTGTCCGATTCTAGAATCAGAGAAAGTCTCTTATTGGGGGACCTTGACAAGCTCTCGTGGAACCGAGTCTGTGACAGCTCGTGCGAAGGCCCAAATTAGCGAACATTGAATTTTTCTTTCCACCATTTCGTCTACTGGGATTGACCGCTTGAAGTCTTCACCATCTGCTAGTATATCCCCAAGTGGAAGCAAGTGTTACCGCTGTGGGAAGTCCGAACATCGCGCAAATGGTCAAGTATGTCCAGCCAGGAATGCAATTTGCCGGAATTGCGGTAAGTCCGGATATTTTGCCAGTCAGTCATTCGGGCACCATCTTACGTGTTGACCCCATTACAAGTAACTTTCCGGCCTCCCCGGACACAGTACAGCAGTTAATCTTTGACATTTGTGAGGGTATATGTTCGATTGCTTGTTCTACTAAGGAGCTTAAATTGCCTTCCCCAGATATTCGCAATGTTTTTGAGGTGTATAGTGAAAACATTCGTTTAGTTATGGAACTAGATTCTGCGTCACCCAATACAATAGTTTCGTACAGCTAGTACAAACAGTTTTCTATCGTTTATTTGTGCATCACTCAGTGTGCACTTTCAGTTGCTATTCCAATGGTCCTGTGCAAATTTTGGGCTTCGTTACAGTTCCAGCATTTCCTGGAGACAGCAGAGTGTGAGATCAAGTCTATATTTCTAAGACTGACATTAAGTCCCTGCTGGGACGGTTTTATTAAATGTATCGCTCAGCGTTCACCGAATGATAATTGCTAATGTGTCCCAGTTTACTTCATTCTAGCTACCCAAACCTTCTCCGTTTGGATAGTGGCAAATTTCTAAAGGGAATGCATAGTATTCGTTTGAAGGCAGATTACATGCCATTCAGTATTTCGCAACCTAGGCCCGTGCCCGTGGTAAAACATGAGGCTTTGTCGGAAGCTTTGAAACGAATAGTCAACGACGGCTTGATCGAACCGATCCAATGCTCTGAGTGAATTCATCATCTTGTTTCAGTTCAAAAGATAGATGGATCTATACGCGTGTGTATTGAATTATGAATGCTTAACAAACACATAATTGTGGATAGATTCCCACTTCCTTCTGCCGATGCGTTGATGGCCAGGCTCTTCAACGCTAAACTATTCTCGAAACTAGGCAGTGCATACCACCAGATGCCACTTACTTTAGATTGTCGGCATTTGATAGCATTTCTTACACAAAACGGGATGTATCAGTACAAAGTGCAACAGCCGCTTGGCAGAAATTCGTCGCCTTATACTTATCCGACCTCAAAAGATGTATTGCTTACATACATGATATTTGTGTGCTCGGTAGCAATACTACTGAACAAGAGGAAAATCTTCACAAGGTACTGCTTAGGCTGATTGAGCTCAATCTTCGCTTGCATACTAGTAAGTGTCAATTCTCTGTGTCTACGCATGTGATTTCTACTCGTGGTATTAGATCAAATAGTCAGAACAAAGGAGCTATGCTTGACTTCCCCAAACCGTTCAACAACACACAGGCGAAACATTTCTTGAGTATGTGTTCTTACTACCTCTGAGATTTGCCCAATTTTACAACGATCGCTGAGGAAATTGACACGGCAAAAAGAAGCATTGGACTGGACAAGTGAACAAGACGAATCTTATCTGATCATACGATCGTTGCGTCTGCCCCTTCTGCAGCTATGTTTAACAAGAAGTGTCCAAGGTTCGTGCCAACAGATGCGTCGGATGTTGGTGTAGGAGCCGTTTTGTCTCACAACCAAACAATAGATGATAAATAATCAACAGTTTCCGACTGTTAAATCTGCGTAATCCATTATAACGCGTCATATCACAATCCACAAATTGCCAACTTCTCTATACAAGACATCCATCGAGAGCATCACTGTTAGACTACAAAAAATACAACAGCAATCAACCGGAAAACCAGTCTTTGCGGTGCTACATATTGCCCGTGTACGACGTGGCTGGCAGCAAGAGTACAAAACTGATGAAGGCCTCCAATACCACGACCTAGAAATAATGCACGTGACTACAGGAGCAGAATTATAAGACTAAACTGCGATGGTCAATGAGCAGAAAACGAAGGCAATCCAATCCAGAGGACAGAAGGCGAAACGGATAGAAACGATATCCTCAATAGCTCCATCGAGATGTTAGACGGAGACGAACACCTAAACGCCCGGTTCATCATGATATCAATAGACATGTATTTACAAAAATACAAACATCCTCCACAGTAGCAAGGAGCGACCGGAAGGAGAAAAGCAGGTGATACCACAAAAATAGTCAATGCTCAATTATCACTCTCCATGTGTAGTGGTGAGTGAGTTTGTCGAAACAGCACCCGCAGCTTCTCAGTCCAGTAACGCTTCTTCAACTCCAATACTTCCAGCTTCTTCTCGTAAACTAGCTTTCTCAAATGCGATTCCGTTCTCGCTATGCCGGTCCCCAAGCGGGATCGCTTCGACCTGACCCAAATGTAAGCAAAGTGGAAAGATTTCAAGTCGGCAGACTATCTCATTGGAGCTAAATGTCAAGCTACGAAAGTGGTAGTAGTGGGCAGTTGACTCAACGAACAAGTCGATCTTATTCGCAAAACCGCAAAATACAAGCCTTGCATTATAAGGACACAGTAGCGTTAACAAACGCCGGATGGCGTTACCGCGTCCACACGCACATAGACACACACACACACACACACCAGCCAATTAGGATGCGATGTGGACGCGCGTCGTCATCAAGACCAAGAGTGGTACAAACCACGACAGCATGCGGACCGCACATCGCCTTTTCTATTACAATGCATTGTTCACTGAGCCGCAGCAGCACAAGTGATCGTGTGCGGAATGTTGACATTCACACACATGAAGCGTTGACCATCGGAAACGGCGCAATGAGACTAGGCGCGGAGCAAATGGTTGCAAGTTAACTCATGCCGCACTATGGGACGGTTGTAACACAGGCGACACCACGCGCGTGGATGGTTTGGCTAATCGGTACTTGTTGTCGCACTGGAACGCACATGAATAGGCACAATGCAGAACAGACACACCGAAAATGAGGGTAACAGGAGTGCACCGACAACGAGAAAACAATGTCTACGTCAGTGGGTGTGGTCAAGAATGCACTGCACGGAGCAGTAAATCGCGCGATAATAATATTTCATGTAGCTAAGTCGTACACATACTCACTTCAATTTGCCATCCACAGCATCGATCATAAGCGGCGATTGAACCTTGTTTGCACCGACATCTGTGGTGGCAGCTTCAACGTCCTCGTCACTGGAAACCGATAAATCAATTCGATTCACTTCACTTGCGGTTGAAACACTTGCTCCTGATGGTTGAACAATGATTGGAGGGTTATGCGACAGAGTGGAGTTCTGAGCACCCTGTAGTGCATTGGTCGGACTCGCTCTATCCGGTGCTCCAGTACTGATAGTTCTAGCCTCACTCACATTGGCAGCTGCGTGTGTGGCCCTTGAACAGACATGCAGAATTTGAGGACTTGGCAACGGGATAGGAACTGGTGATACGTGGATGCGTGGAGTAGTGTTTGTGTCAGTGAGTGGACCACTTGGCACTTCTGTGGAAGGTGTCAGAAGGGGGAGACTGTATTGGATTGATCTAGAGACTACCTGAATTTCACCGTTCGAATTTGATGGGATATTACTGGTTGTGACTATTTGTGTCGAGATCGATTGAGCCAAGCAACCTGCTTCGGGATCGGATTTGCATCTCGTCGTCGGCGTTGTATCGGGTTGTGTCGGTGGTTCGCACATGGAAGCTGGAGTATTGTGTTGGGCGGAAGATCCTGTGCTCATTAGCAATCGTCGACCCTTTTCTCGGAGACGGACCCATGAGCGTTTCGGCCACCCACTGGCATGCATGTGATTTGCGATCTGCACCCAGAACGACTTATCCAGCAACATGTCCGTTTGATTATTATGCTGCAACATTTCGCGAGCCTGGAATATTAGTCGTGACAAAGCTCTGATTTCTGCTGGGGTATAGTTAGTTCTCTTGTTCGGGTGGGGATTCACAGTTGGCACATCCCCAAAAGGCCCGGTAACGTCACCGGCAAACATGTGCGCGTAAGTCTGCGGAGTTGAAACTGACGAGACGGATTGCTGCAGGCTACCGCTCTAATAGATCGATAGCTCAGCGCGAACTAAAATGTGATTGGTCGCATATCCTCGTTTAGCATGTGGCTACATATATGGTCGTGCCTCACATCCTCATCACTCATTGGTTGTCGCCATCGTTTACGCGTAGGCGTTCTGGCTGATTGTTGTAGACACGCACTGGCGTCGCGTACTTAGATTTCACTGCGCTTTCCGAGCATTGCATTCAGATGATGATGGTGTAGTAGGGCTTACTGCGCAGATGTCGGTGCATCTGATGCGAGTCCAAGCCCACCAACACATACTGCATCAGGCATAAGTTGGGTGTGCTGACTTCGCACGACCACTTGTGTACATAATGGCATTTTATAACCTATGTTCAAGCACACAATTTCTCGCCAGCGGTGTAAATGTGAGAGCGGACATTGATCAGTGTTTCATCTGCGTCAAAGAGGAACTCTCTTTTCAACCATTAGTAGCAGCAACTGTGTTTCTGCGACATTGACGTGAGTAAAACATGTTGAAACGTTAAATCTTATAGTATCATCTCATTGTACACTTAGAAGTAATTTGAAGAATACTGAAATGTGTGTAGAATTTATTTTTATGTATTAATACATACCAATGCATACACTAGCCACTCAGCCGTTCGGTTCCTCACGTTCCCACTCTGTGCGTACTACGCGGTAACCCGATCTTTTGATGTGCCATACTGATCGGGTGTTAGGCTAAATTATTGTGGGTAGTCGTATTTGAATAAACACTTGAAGCGAATTTTGACTATTGTCAAATTTCGTCTGATTCTGGGTTTCTTGGTTTGATTAAAGTGCTACTGGGCATAGTGCCTCCTTGACGGTTACGGGTAATTTTTGCGGCCCTTCCCCTTTTTAATCCCGTTGTACACCCTGTTTGCTTTTTTACTCTTGTCCTTTTACGGTTTGATACATGTTTTTTTAATTTCTGCTCCGTTTTCCACTTTAAACATGGTTTTCTTCCAAATACCGAGGCGGATGCAATTCTTGGGTCCTCGTTTGATGAGTCAAATGCAGCTTGCTGCAATTCTGCCTCTTCAAGGTCAGTTACAGATTCATCATTCTGATTCATCATTGTGATGTTTGCATCAGCTTGTGTCACAAATTTGTACCAGCTTCCGAGCGAACCAGTACACAATGCTATCATCCAATGAAAACTTTCTTTTTAAATGTGCAGAATGCTGCGCTCAGAAAGCGAAGCGCCCGGCTGCACTGTGCTGAATTCCAAGCATTCGTATTCCGGTTCACAGTTCTTGAGAAGGCGATAGCCATGCTTGCCTCTCTTGCCTCCCTCAGCACTAAAGTGATTTTGTTCATGAAACCTCTGACTATTGCGAATGAGGACGCTGTAGCGGACTTTCCCCCTACTCACAGTCCATCCATTGATTAACCATTCATCCTACCGTACGCTGCAGTTCACATGGAGATAACTGACTCAGCTGCCTTAGACTACATTCTTGACTCCCCCCAAGTGGAAGGTGAGTCACCCGCTCCTGGACTAGAAAAGAATAAGCGAAAGTGGGCAAGGAAAGCGCACAAACCCTTCCCCCTATCCAGGGAGGTGAGAAAACGCCCAAGATGCAAGCGCCTGAGCTGTAAACGTCACCTGGTGGTGCTGAACTTCCCTCAGCTTCCTCTAAGACTGTGCAGGCAAGGGGTGAAAAACACCAGATTTCCTCATCGCTTGCTAAGCAAACAGCGGAGGTGCCTACTCCAAACACCTCACCCTGTCTTCCGGGGGTACAGGTCGTGTAGCCGGACATCGAAATTTAGCCTGCAGGACGCAAGGAAAATCAGAACAGAACTGCGTATACTCTCTAGGCCAATTGGAAAAGCATCAAGAATGATGCGTCAAACAAGCTGCAGCATAAGACGTATGATACAGTTGCTTCAGCATCGTCTGACAACTTGTGCACCGTCTCATTGCCTGCTGCTAAACCGGCTGCTGTTCCTGTAAATTCAAAAAAAATTACAAGACCATAGGTGAACAATTGTTTTCGATGATTCTCTTCAGACCATTACAAACATATTTAAGGGTAAACAAAGGAACTGAAAGCGACTCATTGGCACAAATTACATAGTTAATTAACGGTTCAGTGAGGGAGGCTAAACGTTGACCTTTGACTTGACAGGTCGCTTGCATGATACCGAGCTTGATCTGTGGAAATCGACCTCAGCATCGTTCGTTCGAGTTGGCCAGGGAAGCTGTAAGGCATGGAGCAACTTCTTTTGCGAGCATAACGAAGGTTGAAACAACCGAATGCAAATCGATTCAGCTGTCGCGAGCGCATGGAGGCGCAAACCTCTTGATTGATGCTGGGGACCCTGTATCTTATCCTGAAGGCACGCTTTAGATCAATATGGTGCCCCGTGTCGACAATATGGGCCAAAACGGCGCTACTAATGGCCCCAGTTCCTCCTTGACGCAACCAGCGCGGGCAGTGCTCCTTCATGCGTTTGGAAAAGGGCCGTGCCGTTCGACCAATATAGGTAGTATCACAAGCACACTTGAACTGATAGATAACCATTGCTGACCTCATCAGATCAAGATCGGTACCATGCAATCGACCTGTCAAGTCAAAAGTCAACGTTTAGCCTCCCTCACTAAACCGTTAATTAACTATGTAATTGGTGCCAATGAGTCGTCTTCAGTTCCTTAGTTTACCCTTAAATATAATTGTAATGGTCTGAAGCGAATCATCGAAAACAATTGTTCACCTATGGTCTGGTGTTCACTTTACTCTAAATGAGGATTTTCAAGTTGCTTAAACTATCCAAGCCTCCCTAAGTGATGAAGGAGCTCAATCAGTTCCTGAGGTTTTCCACAAAGCTTGCTGAAGCCAAAACCAGTGTTCCATTTTCGATGAGTGTGTTGTGCGTAATGAGTATCCCGCTAGATTTTGGAAGCAATTACGTCGTAATCGGATTTATCCTAATAGCAAGACTCAGACGACATGCGCTTACCTAACGTGATAAGGTGCAGTCCAAGATAGCGGAATTCGCAAGGAATTTTGCACAACGCCACACGGCAACAGAAGATTTAACCGTAGGGGAAAAGCAGATATTCTTGGACTATGTCCAGTCTATTACCAGTAATCGTGTACATCGGACGCCTTCGGCTTTAGAAAAATCGCTGAGCCAGATAAAACAGCAAACTGTGTTTCCGAACAAGCCAGAAATGTACGTACACAACGTTTCTAGCATGAAACTGGATACAACTTTAATTGAAGTTCTATCGCTCGGTTTAAAATTTTGTGCACCTAGACGTAGAGACAACCAACTTCATTACGAGTTGCAACTGGAAAACCTATATGACCAAACGAATGGGTTAACGCCTACGTCTAATATGGATCTCGAACGCTTTAAGTGTTACTTGGTACACTGTTGCTACCAATATCATAAACATCGTGTCCATAATCGTGTTCTGTTAACAAGAAAACACCTAGACGCACTGAAGGAACTTAAACGCAATGAGGAGGTCATTCTGTGCAAACCGGACAAGGGTGCCGGGATAGTGTTAGTAGACAGAAAAGACTATATTGGTAAATTCACAACCATTCTGAGCGATAAGACGAAGTTTTCCTGCGACACAAGGGAAGCTGACCAAACGGAACAGATTGAATGACAGATCACTATAAGACTCCAACAGCTTCGGGACAAGGGGTACATAACCGCTGTCTTGTATGACAGTCTTAGACCTTGCGGCACAAAAATTCTGAGACTTTACGGCCTTCCAAAAATCCCTAAGACTGACATCACGCTTCGTCCTATTCTGTCAATGGTTAATTCCTCCTACCACGCAGTTGCCCAGTGGCTTGTAAGAATTCTTGAGCCGGTGAGACAACAGCTTGTGACTTACAACTTGCGTGACAGTTTTCAGTTCGTCGAGAGCATCAAGGAGGCCAAAATTAATGAGAAAGTGATACTCTCCTTTGATGTTGTCTCGTTTTTCACTAACGTCCCACTGATCGAAACCATCGATTACATTTGCAAGCAGAAAACGAAGTTGGAAACTAAGATTTGTATTCTTGTGGTTGAGTTGAAACACTTATTGCTGCGATGCACATGGAATGTGCAATTTCCATTTAATGGTAAATTTTACCGGCAAAAGGACGGTGTAGCCATGGGATCCCCCTCGGTCCATTTTTCGCAGATATATTCATGGCCCAATTGGAGCGAACACCGTTATATGGATGATATATTTGTAGTGGCAGATAAATGCATAAATCTGGATGAGGTTCTTGATCGGTTTAACCGGGCTCACGCGGCACTGCAATTTACCTACGAGGCAGAAACTTGCAATCGACTTCCGTATCTAGATGTCTTGTTAACTAGGAAACCAGACGGCTCCATCCAGCGGAAAATCTACAGAAAAAATACGTGGATTAGTCAGTACACGAATTTTCACAGTTTCCTCCAGCTGAGATATAAGCGAAAATTAATCCACTGCCTTACCACAACAGCGTGTACAATTGGCTAACAGGACACCCTAGACGAGGAACTAGCTTTATAAAAATACGCTGCGCGAGAATAGCTACCCTGATTGAGTTGTAAAGAATTTTGAAGAAAAGCCCAAGCCGGTACCAGTTTTAACCTTATAAGGGGGATGCCGCTGACCAGCGCCTAACCAAAAGTATTTCAGCGGCAGTCAAGTCGACATTCCCATCGGCCAGGTTAAAGTGCACATTTTCTACTGAACCACTTGTTTGTTCACGCAATAAGGATATGCTGCCATTGCTGACCTCATCAATGGTTATTTATCAATTCAAGTGCGCTTGTGATACTACCTATATTGGTCGAACGGCACGGCCCTTTTCCAAACGCGTGAAGGAGCACTGCCCGCGCTGGTTGCGTCAAGGAGGAACTGGGGCCATTAGTAGCGCCGTTTTGGCCCATATTGTCGACACGGGGCACCAAATTGATCTAAAGCGTGCCTTCAGGATAAGATACAGGGTCCCCCAGCAGCAATCAAGAGGTTTGCGCCTCCATGCGCTCGCGACAGCTGAATCGATTTGCATTCGGTTGTTTCAACCTTCGTTATGC